CGTGATCAAAGCACATGCATGGAAGGCTGAGCACATGCGTGGATGCATACGCGATCAGATTTGCGAACCGGTAGGGAAAGTAAGTGAATAACGCCCCTGAAGATGATGCCATACAAAGCTCCTTGCCACTCCTGACTTTATTAGCTGTAGTTAAAGCATAGATCATAGTACACTAAGGAACTGTTGTAAGGTTAAAAACAAAATATGCTCAGGAGCTTCTTGACTGAAGAGTGTAGTTCAAATGCAATTTATATTCCGTAATATAGCATACAATTACAAAACTGCATTGTGTATAGAGTAATCTGGGGCCCCTGGAAGCATTTTCAAGGCATCAAGAGTCTTTTATAAAATTGCACCTAAAAATTGAAATGCCAGAAAGAAAACCTTATAATCTAGAAAATATGTTTCTGACAAGATACATGCTATAATTATAGCATATAAATATGCTATAATTATTCTGAGCCAAAAGGGAAACCAGGCTTGGGACCCTGTCAGACCGCAGGTATTTTTACTACTTCAATCAAAAGACAGAAGTTTTTTCATCTTCTTCTATGGTCAGGTATGTATGTAGAAACATTTAAAATTAATATTGGCAAAAAACATATTAAACAAGTTAGAAATTTGTTTGCATATCAATAGTCCAACACAGAAGTGCCCTCTTCTGCCTCCTAAGACCCTTTCAAAGATATTGGTGCATTGTGATTTTCCTTGACAGAAAGACAATATATACAATTATATTAATTATATTAATCATATTAAAACGTATTAACTGTATTCCAACTTTAAATATAAAATTTAAGTACACTTAAATGAAAAGAGAGTCTAAAGCAGATTCTGGCCCACCATTCAAAAGTTTCCCTCAGCGCATAAAATCCTGGGCCATCGGTGACTCAACACAAGGTGTACATATCACAGCAACCTTTGACTTCTAGGATTTTTCCCCACATCTCCTCCTCACTGCTTAAATGATGAATTTGGAATGAGTTTGCATTTTTTTAATAGTTTGCCATATTGTCCAGAGTAAAACTCATACTTAAGAATTATAGTTAATAAATGTCTAAACAACTTAAATTCAAATACTATAATCTGGCTTGTTTCAAACACAATGTCAAGCTAAAATTAAAACTCCAGAAGTCCTTCTGGTATGCAGGAGGAGGACAATAAAAATGAGGTACATATGAATTTGTTGCATGGTATATTAAGTCATGGTTTGATGTGACATGTGATCACCATCATTGTCTTGTGCACAGAAACAGTTAAGATAAAATCAAAAGAAGCCATCAAAGCCAGGAATTTCAAATTTCCAAACCTGGAAGTATCTCAATCTACCTTGCAGCTTTAACACTGAAGAGCAGGGCTTTGATTTTGAGAATACATATATACATTTATCCAAGAAGAGAAACTACCTTCCTGAAATTACTTCTGGAGCAGCGTAGTTAGGAGAACCACAGCTCGTTCTTAAAAATTCTCCATCTGACATCATATTTGAGAGACCTGAAAATGCACAAGAGTTCAAATGAAGACCCACAAAAAAGATGAACAGATATTTAACCTTCTTTTAGGGAGGATACATCATATCCTATTCAACGACAGGACCACAAGGAGGAATAAAATCAGAATCATATGTGTAATATTTTTTTTAAAAAAA